ATCTCTTTTTTTTCTCCCCTCAGTTTTTGAGCATTACCACGGTGTGGGCTCCTCATCACACAGAGGAATGGACGATGACATCATCTCACTAGTAAAGAGTATTGTTCCTCCACTGACGTCCAAAAAGCACAAAGGACAAGATGGCCGTATTGGGATCATTGGGGGATGCAAAGAGTAAGTCACATGAAGACCCACTCCTCTTTCTCACACTACCTGCAGAAAATATTTGGCCGGAATCTCATCTTCTTTTTTCTTTAGTTACACAGGAGCTCCATATTTCGCCGCTATTTCTGCACTCAAAGTGGTAAGCTGTAAATCTTATAACTTATGTTGCATTTTCAGCATCAATATTAGATGGATTTATTTCTTTATTTTTGTCTTAAGGGGGGTGACTTGTCACACGTGTTCTGCACCAAAGAAGCTGCGACTGTGATAAAATCCTACAGCCCTGAGCTCATAGTGCACCCTGTCCTGTAAGTACATCAGCTGGGCTGTGGTTTGACAGGAGACATTAAATATGAGAATAAAAATCTGATTTAAGATACCAAGACAATATTTCTGTCATAATATGACAGGTGGACAACTTACAGAGAGGAAATCGTCACATTAAGCAGATAACTTTGTGTGTTTATTAGCTTTCCTAGTAGACTATAAAATATCCAGGATATTGTTGTTAATTAAATTGATGCTGAGTAATGGGCATAATGCTCTACTGATGGATGTGTCTCTAGAACATGGAGGAAAATCCATCAAAATGATCTTTAATGTTTTTATGAAGGGAATGTTACATCCATAGATGGTATCATCCTCACTTTTGATCTCTGTTTTGTGTTACTCAAAAAAACATAAATATGTTTGGATGTCCCTTAAAAAAAAACTAAAAAAACATGTCACTGTGTTTTATGATTATTAAGGGACAGTCCAAATGCTGTGGAAGAAATAGAAATGTGGCTCCCGAGACTCCATGGCCTTGTAGTCGGACCAGGTCTGGGCAGAGAAGATGGCTTACTGAAAACAGCCAAGGTATGTGGAATAGATTAATTCCTCTAAACATCCGAGCCTGGCGTTGAGATCCACCCTGAGTGATCAGATCTCTGCTGGCTGCTTTTACATGCACAGGAACACATGCTCATTTTACACTGCAGGATATCTGCTGGGCAGCAAACAGGAAACTGACACCATCCTTTCAGTGGTGATCAAACCTCTCAGACTCTTTACCTCATTGGTGTTACCTCTGCTGTGTGTGTTTGTCCATTTGTTTTTCCTTTTTTTTTTCTTACAATACGTCTGGTTTGTTACAGACTTTGAATATTTTAATCCCTAAATCCTGCAGTAAAGATCCCACCACAATCAGCAGCTCAACGCATTTCAGTCACCACCTCCCATAATCCGCCGGTTGATATAATCCAGTTTGATTATTTTGAATTATACCCTTACAATGCTGTTCCTTTTTTTCCTAGATGATCCATCAGCTGTTTTAGTTCCTAAAAGCAAGGTTTAATGAATAACTTGTTGAGCAGCTTTAGGGGAGTCTCAGCAGGTCGGTGTTGGGGCTCTCGGTTTGCCTCTGAATAGACTGTGTTTAAACAACTAAACTGATGGCAAGAAAAAATGTTCCAGACCAGCTGTGAAGAAACACTCCAACGAGAACTGTCCTTGAAAGGGTTTGAGCACATTTACACCTTTAATCCCCCGGATGCAATCTGGATTAATCCATGTGCTAGTTAGGGAAGGAGTAACATGCTAACAGTTTGATTGCAGCTACAAAATGCACCAGTGTAGCCTTGGCTAGACATGATTTAGTTTGACTAATGAGTCTTTGTTTTGTTTCTTAAGTCAGGTTGTTGGATATTATTTGAATGAAATATTTACTGTCATACGGTTTCATGGCTAAAGTCTGTTAAGTCATGATGTTGCATCTTTTTTTCTTACAGGAAGTGATTGAAAGGTCTAAGGCAAGGGATATTCCTATAGTCATTGATGCAGTAAGTCTGAATCAAATTCAAGTTCCTGTTGTCCTGGTCTTCATTTGAAAAGTCATACAGGCTTTGGTTTTCAACAGGACGGATTATGGCTCATCACACAACAACCGTCTATCATCCAAGGTTATCAGAAGGGCATCCTCACCCCTAACTTCATGGAGTTCACCAGACTGTTCGAGGCTTTTGTGAGTTTACTTTTTATTTTCTTGCTGGAGCTGTTTTGTTTGTGATTTCTTGACACGTTGAGTTTATCTCTGACTTCTAATTTCAGCACCATGAGCCCATGAATAGCAGCGACCACAGGCGCAGTGTCATGCAGCTCAGTGGAGCTTTGGGCAACCTCACCTTGGTGCTAAAAGGGGAACAGGACCTCATCTCAGACGGCAGTAAAGGTTGGTTTTATGAATTCTACAAAATCTTTGTTTATTTAATGCAAGAGGATTTTAGACTTCTAGTTTGTGAGCACTTATTCTGGGTTATTTCCTTTAGTGTACTCCTGCAGTGTGGAGGGCAGTGGGAGAAGGTGTGGTGGACAGGGGGATCTTCTGTCTGGCTCTATGGGAGTCCTGGCACATTGGGCTCACACTACCTCAACAGCAGGCCTGATCAGAGGGTGAAGATCTCTTATATTTCTATACAACGAACTACATTACTCATGGTTTTTAATTGTAGCAAACCTGTAACGGTGTTTATCTGCTTGTTTTTTATTCCTCTCCCAGTATGAACCCATCAGTGGTTGCAGCGTTCGGCGCCTGTTCCCTCACCAGACAGTGCAACAATCAGGCGTTCCAGCGGCACGGCAGATCCACCACCACCTCAGACATGATCCAGGAGATCGGTCCGGCCTTCAAGAAACTGTTTGAAAGCTGAAGCAGTCAAACGTTCAATAATGATCTGTACACTTAATCTGTAAAATGTGCTTTCTTCAGGTAGACTTCAAGTTTGGTAGTCACATGCAGTACACGCACATGTTGTTTTAAATGTTTTAAATAAACCAGAAATAAAATCCAACACGTACCCGATGTCTATCACTTAAGTTGTTGTTTTTATTTAATTTAAGCAAAATCCCTCTTTGTTTCAACAAAAGACTGATTGGGCCAAAATAAAAGTGTAGAATTTACTGCTGTTATTTCTTAGTGGTCAAGTAGAATTTTTTTTTAGGTGAATATTTTTTGGATGGAATATAAAGTATTTATCATCAAGATATTTTCATTAACGTTAAGAGGGACCGTTCTTAATTTGTAACGATTAAGATCAAGGTTGTGAAGCTAATGAATTTAGATTAATGGTACACATACAGTAAAGTCTTATTTATTTGCATCCCCTTTACTCGTGCAGCAGCTTAATCTTACATTGGAAAAATTCAACTTTGAATTAGAAAATATTTTTTTGGTAGGGTAAAAGCTGTCAGCTGGGTAGGCCAGGCTTAAACTGGAAGGCAACTGGTCTTTCCTCAGACGTTTCAACAACAGAAGTCTTATGTTAATTCTGCCATTTCGTACCAGAGCAAGCCTGGTGCGAGTCGACAGAATTAACAGACTCCTGGAATGGTGTTGAAAAGTAATGCATAAACATTACCATAAAAACCATTGGATAATATCAAAATACCAATCATTAATGTCAGGGAAAAAAAGCTGTTTCCCTCCTCATCACAAATGTAAGCAGGCAGTTTGCTAAAATGAGAGAAGCAACATGGTGACAAATCAGGCCTCAGCAAAATTCATGTCAATTTGTTGAAACTAGGAAATTTTAACTATCATCATTCATTGGGTCGCTTAACAGGAAAGAACACCACACAGTTTCCACATCTAAACCCTGTAAAAAAATAAAAAAAAAATGGGACACAGGACTATAGATGTTACATGAACAGTTGACCAAAATGATACCTCTGCAGCAAATAAACTATAGTAGTATTTTTGCATCCCTACCAAGGATGCCAAATGGTGTGGTTGTGGCTGTGTAATGCAAGTCAATCTTATTTTAGAATTTTAAAAGAGAGCTTTTGCATAAAAAAAGAAAATAAAAATCTACTTTATTCATCCATAAAATGTTATCCTTTCTTTTATTAATTTAGAATATAGTCAAACAGAAGGGTTAGGGAAAAAAATGTACAAGCTCCCAATAACATATTTGAAAACCTCTCACATGGTTTATCCAATGCTGTTTGCCTTAAATTGATATAAACCTTACAAATTCTTAATTAAAATCACAGCTATTCAAAACCAGTTCTTCAATTTTACTTAAAGTCTCAAAAGTGCATATTTCCTCACTAATTTGCATCTATTTTATTGCTTTTTAAGGTGCTAGTTTTTTCTAAGGATGCTGTTTTTTAGTCACAACCTACATTTAACTTGATCTTGGGCATAAAAAAAAAAACACTTGTCAGAAGACTTTTCCATAAAATTCTTTCTGGGTACCTATGGTCTTATGTTTTTGTTTTTTTACTACAAGCTTAAGACGAAAACAGCTGAGTATTTAAATCTCATGCCAGAAGAAAACATTGAAAGAGTAACATCTAATTTTCATTTGTTGTCAAGTAAGTTAAATTTTCTTCCATTAAAAAAGATACAAATCCTAATAGTTTAAAATTGTAAGATTATATATCTGTTTTGGCAATATTCCTAAGCTGTGCTTAAGCCTTGGTCCATGGTACACTCTTAGCTTAGTTTGCAAACCATAAAGTGAGATTCACACATCAAATTGTAACTTTTATACGATTTTAATTACTGGTCATTTCCTATGCTATGAAAAAATCTACAAATTATACGTAAATGAGCGTCTACTGCAATAAAGAACACTATGATGCTGCAAAGTAGCAGCCTGCCGAGAAAAAAACGATGGGATTATGATGAATGAAGATTGTTGTCGGAAAGCTGGGTCCTGTTTTAAAGGTTAATGCAGGTAGGAGATGCTGCGAAAGTTGTTTGCAGAAGATGCTTCAAACTAGATGGTGTGCGCATGCGCAGGCTCCGTTCTATTCGGAGTGTGCATGCGCGCACACCCCATTCTTCTCTGGCTGTGCGCATGCGCACACCTCGTTCTACTCGCGGTGGTTTTAGCTTCACCCAGCGACAGTCCTCTGGTCTCCTTTCTGTAGTCAGCGTTACCTGGCGTTAGCAGAGCGGTACCACCGAGGAAACAAAGTTACCAACAAGACGCGAAGCATATCCAGAAGTAAGGTTTCCTGTATATTTTGTGTTACAGACTTACGATTAAGCTGTGCTGCTTTTGACTTTTTGTTTTTTTTTGCCTCATTTCGACTAAAAACTGCTCAAGCTAGCAGGCTAACTTAGCTAAAAAAAAGGCAGTTTAAAGTAGCTTCATGCCTTTGCTTGCATTGCTTTGGCTACTGTAGATGAAATTGTATTCATAGTCAAGTTGTTATGCGGGCTAGTTTAAGAGTTTGGCTGAACGTAGCCCTCTAAAATAAGATAATTGCCGTAAAAATCGAGCTTTTTAGGCTAGCTTATAATTAAAATTAAAGTAATTTCGGTTCCAAATAGAGTTAAAGCTAGGTTCTGATAAACTTATTTCAGCCCAGTTAGCATTTTGCATGAAACCTCAGTTGCTTTGGTAACCCTTCATGTTTTTCGGTTTTGTAGTAAAGCATCTGTTCCTTGCTCATTATGAAATCATCAATGTACGTTTAAGGCAGTGCGGATTTGAGATCAAACTTATAAGCGGGCCAGGGTGGAGGCAGTGTTTTTTCATGGAAAGGCATATCATAAGAAATTGATTTAGTATTCGATCGATATTAATACGGAAAATTAGCTGAAAATAATTGAATTTGCTTTTGCAGGTAAATAAGATTATCTGCCAAAGAAAAGAGGTATTACTTTTAAAATAAGATATTCAGATATTATACTCTTTAAGTAAAAATAATGGAGTTGTTGTTTTTATTCTTTTAAACTCAAATCTTTCTGCATCTACATATTTCCTCGACTAATTGTTCAAATTAAAATAAAATATAGTTATTTCAAGTAGAATCCACTTACCAATATTTAAGGTTTGCTGTGAATGTTTTCAGTACATGGTCCATAATGTGCCAAGACCAGTTCTACGGGGGCCAAGAGGATTTTAGGTCACAGCTAATGCAGCAGTTTGCTTTTTCGATTTTTGCTGTACAATCAGATGTGCACATAATTGATTTATTACTATACATCTAAAGTTTAAGATAAAATACCATATAGTACCATCTTTATTAATACGCAACTATGAATAAACAAGGTCAAAAAAGTTCTATATATACATTTATATATATTGTACTTGGTTGACCTTATTTATATAGATATATATATAATTTGTAACAAAATAACATGTTTTTTTTGTTTGTTTTTTTAACCCTACCATGTTCTATAATGCAGTAAACTTTACTTAAAGCCATATTGTGTTTGCAGGTGTTGGACCCACAATGTTGAACCCAACCAATGGGGACCCAGGTCATGTTGTGGTGAATTATGCTGAGGAGTATTTGGACCTAGTGGAGTCTTTGCCTTTCGACTTGCAGAGGAGCGTGTCTCTCATGAGGGAAATAGATTCCAAGTACCAAGGTGGATTACCTGTTTTTGGCTTGATTTTTTTTTTTTCCATATTGCTCTGCATTGATGTGGACATTTAGCTGTAAAACAATTCTAGGGCTGCAACTACCGATTATTTTGCAAATCGATTTATAGGTTGATTATATTTTCGATTAATTATCAGATAGCCAAAGGTTCCTTAAAGAAGATTTTTTACGGAAGTAAAAAGTAACTTAAACTTTTCCACTTGATGAGATGTTGATAGAGCATATTGATGGACAGATTTTTTTATTTTTATCTTAAATGCAAAATGTTTATATATTTCTTAACAGTGTTGGTACAATTATTTCCCTAATTGGGTTCTCTGTCATCTAAAGGCATGTTTTAGAGTCTCTATACTCTAGTTAATGATTAATCAGTTACTAAATTAGTTGATTATTTCAATAATTGATTAATCCAATTAATTGTTTCAGCCCTAAATAATTCTAAATGAATGATTAACATTTTATTGTTGTTTATGCCTCAGTAGTTGCAGCATATTAACAGGAACTAATAAAATCTACATAAAGGTGACAGAATAAATAGTAACATGTATCTCATGTTATGTGAATCCACAGATTGAAAAGAAGCTTTGTGTTTTTTTTCCTAGTTTCAATAAAAATGTCTCTAATATCTTTATTCATTTGCAGTTTTTATTTTCAGTATGATAGACAGGTGCAATTTAATAAAGATAAGATTTAAAGACTGAAAATTAAATAAAAAGTGGAAATATGAGGAATACATGCTGAATGACGAACCTAGTGATGGTCTTGTATAATAAATGACATGCTGATAAGTTTGTAATTTGTTTTATTGCAGAGGCACTCAAGGAGCTTGATGATGCCTATGAACGGTACCGCAGAGAGTTGGACTCGCTTCAAAGGCGCAACCTTCAGTTATCCATTCAGAGGGCGCTGATCCGCAGCCAGGAGCTTGGAGACGAAAAGATCCAGATTGCGGGTCAAATGGTAGGTGTGAAGATCACGCTTCAGCTGTTCTGATGTAACGTGCATATCATTGGAAAATTCCCAAACAGGACTGTGTGCAAATAACAAAGACCGAGCAATACCTCTGTGTCTGTATGGGGCTAATTTACTCTGAGTATATGTGGGTCTGATGCTTTTTTAGGTCTAGAAAATTATGATTAAAGAGGAAATCCCCGACCTGACAAAGATGACTCCAAAAAAAACCAGAGGGTTACACGTTAATCTAAATAAAATGTAGAATTTAAGTTTCTTTTTTTTTTGTCACTTTTTGCAGGAATTTTGCAAAGATCTATAAAGTTTTTAAATACATTTTTCCAAAGTTTGAAATCATAATAGATTTTCTGCTCTGCTTCCACATATTGAGAAATTTGATTGCAGTAAAAACAGTTCTTTCATAATATAAGAATGGTAATATGTTACTCAGAGCACATAAATAATGAAAAAACACTCTCACTAAAGGCAAGTGTCAGGCATGCGTACTCGCACGTGGGGGGCCATAAAAATGACTGAATACCATTTTGAGTTGCTCCAATGAAATTTCATCAAAATGGACGAGCCTGCCGCATCATTTTTTCACTATAATTTTTGGGGTGTCTTTGAATTTAGCCCTCTATAGGTTGATCATTTTCATTTCTATTAAATGAATTGGCATCCTTTTGTTCCCAACAAATCACCCTTAATTTATATCAGTATAAATTAACAGCATGATTTTTTTCTGATTTGTTTTCAAAGTGTTCCTTTAATTTTTTTGAGCAGTGTATTTTACTGTTTTCTTGGCATCTCATTTTTCTCAGAGGTTTAGACTTTATACTCTTCCTGGTTGTGATATCAAAGGCAGCCGGAAAAGATCTCGTCTTAAATTAAAAAAGAAAACATAGAAAATGTAAACGACTCCTCACTTGACCAATCTAAAGTATCCTCCTCAAACACATCTAGTTTCCTTTCTTTGTATTAGTGATTCAGAAAACAAACGCAGCATTGTGTTGTTTCATAATATGGACAAAATATGGCTGACAATAAAACAAAACTGATATTCAAATAGCCCATATAAAAATAGGCTATTTGAAGATAGTAAATTTAACATCAACTCTAGAATAAAGTCAGCAGGTTGGTAATTAATTCAAAGTAAACGTTATGGAGGTCAACTTAAAATGATTTTAAAAGATATAACAGCAATCATTACCTCTGCTAGGCTTACGTTAGTTTTTCGTTTTTTCAGTTATCCCAACGTAGTCTTTAAATATTTTGATCTTTAATTGTTTTTGGGGTTTTTTTTTCTTTGTCCTTTGTTTAAATTCTCATTGCTTGTTGTTTCAGCTGGAGTTGGTGGAGAACCGAACCCGAAAAATAGAGTGGCTTTATGAGCTTCTCCTCTCCTCTCAAGAAGTCCAAGAAAGTCATGTTACACCAACGACCCCCGTTACAACCGCTTCCGCATCCCGGATGTCCTCTTTTTCAGCTCCGGTCACTCCAGGCAAATCAGGCCACCATGAAAAGAAACGAGACGAGGTCACTCCAGGCTCAGTCGGTGGAGACAAAGCCGGAGGGAAGCGCTCAAGGCGTCAGAAGAATGGAGAAAACCGTGAAAGCTACGGGGGTCTGGATCACTCAGAAGAAGTTGGGGCTTCTCGAGAAAAGAGAGCCAAAATGTCCTCCAAGAAGAAGAAAAGATCTAAAGGGAAGTCGGAGAGAGAAGTGTCACCTCCTGACCTGCCCATAGATCCAGATGAGCCGACGTACTGCTTGTGTGAGCAGGTTTCCTTTGGAGAGATGATCGGCTGCGATAACGACGAGTGTCCGATTGAGTGGTTTCATTTCTCCTGTGTTGGGCTCCATCATAAGCCCAAAGGAAAGTGGTACTGTCCCAAGTGTCGGGGTGAGAATGAAAAGACCATGGACAAAGCCCTGGAGAGGGCAAAAAAGGAGAGGGCTTATAACAGGTAGCTCGCTCAGCTGGGCCCAATAAACACTGAATAGAAAGTTCTACCATCTGTCTTTTTCATTCATAATCAACTCTGTTAGAAAGTATTCGGCTGATGAAGATAACCTGAAACATATTTTTGTAGCTGCTGCAGATCTGAGAAAAAAGATGTCTCCATCTGGCTTTTAGTATTTGTAAAAATGTTAATGGAAGAATAAACTCCCACCTGCATGTTTTAAGGTCTGTTCTGCCTTTGTTAAAAGTTTAAATATATCTGCTCAAATAAAATATTTCTAAACTGATACATTATTTTGTCCAGTAAACTTGGCTGTGTGCTTCAAGTTGAACACTCTAGAAACATGATTTATATTTATCTCTGTGATAATATTTAAAAAGAAAAGTATACATAATGAAGCAGAAGAAAAGGAATTAGTTTTATTCTTACTGGCATGTTTTTGAATCTGATCGCTTAAGTCTAGTCTGCAGCAAAAACTTGTTTCTACTGCATTTACAGGCTGAAATTTGAGCCCGTTCTTTTTAAACCAGCTTAATCTCAGTAAATATGGAAACCATATATGATCACTTGCATAGATTTTAATACCTTTATTCTAAGGATTTAGGTTTAGATTTTGAATTCAAGCATGAATATAACATTGTAGTGTAGCTCTGGTTTAGAATAGCCTTTATGTGAACTCAAATTGTCATTTTCTTAATCCTCTTGTGGAAAAATGTTTAATTGATCTTGATTCTCCCATCTTTGCTGCAAAAATAAGCAGCTCTGCCAATTGGTCCATTTGGCAGCTTTTGATGAACTCTTCCTTTAGATTGATAGCCATGTCTATAGATACCGCATACTCCTTCAATCAGTGCCTTACTTATAGATGCTACTTTTGGTTGTCATGACATTGTGTAAATCTAATCTGAGGTTTAAAAAGAAACTCAAGACATACCCTATTAAGGATGGTTTTATTTACAAGAACTGGAAAAAGTGACATGAGGGACAACCAGTGCAAAATCTGTATATAATTTCAGCTGCAGATTTGTTTATATACACGAGAACTCGATGGGACTGTGAAAACACTACATCATGCATGTAACAGTTCACAACACAGCAAAGGACGTGCTGCAGAGATATTTGATTTAGCTGTAGTAGGTGATGTATAGGGCTGCTCATAATCCCACTGCATTGTGAAAACTGACTGAACCAATCAGGTGCAGAACAGAAACCCATGACTAAAATGATGCACCCTTGGAGACATTTACCATAGCAAGTCATGGGAAGTTATTAAAGCAAGTAAGAACACACCAGATTGTTTTTCTTTTCTTTTGTTTTGATGCTTTATAGCCCAAACTGACAACGCACATTTCCCTGGTTGACTAGAACAGGAAGGAACCATAAAAAGAACCTCTTGCTAGACAAGAAAAAAAAAAAAACGCTTTTCAGAGAAGTTGAGGGTAAAGTGCATAAAAGCGTAAAAGGAAAAGATTGGGCGAAAAAAAAGTTTAAAATTTCGGTTACTCCACTAAAACTTGCAGCACACACAGCTTAAGGATGAGGCGAGCAGCAGCTGGGATTGTCAGGTCAACTGTCCCTCCAGCTTTGTTCAACAATGGCAGACACCCGCTTCTCGTACTCCCGTTTGTTCTCCTGGTACAGCTGGGCTGCTTGACTGTTGGCTGGGCTGTTGGGGTTCGGCTCATCAAGCAGAGACTGGAAAAAGCAACAGAAATAACAGGAAATTTATGTTGTGTTTTTTTTTTTGTCTCAGCTCACATTAAAAAAAACCTACTAATGTGTTAATATACTATTCCAACACTTCTAGATCACAAAACCGAAAGTAAAAAAGTGACCTTTTGTGGTAAACTTTTGGAAAAACTACTGTTAGCTAAGCAAAACAAGATATCACAACAAAAAGTTTAATTAATAAATGTCTAAATTACCTGATGGATCTGTCTAAAAGTTCACGTTGGTTGGCTGATGTAACATTAGTTAAATGTTATTATGACAGAAATATTTTACTTTTGGTTCACAGCTTTCAGTTTATTTTCTTAGAGATTGTTTTTCAGCATTTCTTCCAAGTTTCATTAACTTTAATTTCAGATTTACTAGTTTTAACCTTTCTTGATAGAAAAAAGGACTATTTTTTATCCCGGTGCTCTGCAATGTTTATATTTCTTACCTGAATGGAAGTAAGAATAGAGGACACGTCATAAGTGGGACTCCATCGATTTTGTAGAATGTCTAAACATATACTGCCATCTGCATAGACTGTAGACAAACACAGCATGAAACACAGCCCATAATAATCCCAGAGGTAATGTGACCACATGTTCCGGTCCTCCTACCATTTGGATGAAACATCTTGGAGACAAATCGTACTGTGGGGGGTTTGTTGGGGTATTCTTCTGTAAATTCTACAATGAGCTTAAATGTACCTGAGGAGGAAAAAAAGGAGGAAAATCAACCAGGGGCATAAATGAAGTAGAAAAATGTCAGTTTTGACCTCTTTTAACAAAATATTTTCATAGAAAATAAATTAAGTTACAAAGCTGATTCATTTCATGGGTTAGAAAATACCCCAAAAAAGCTCCTGATAAACTAGACAGGAATGCAGTAAGCTATAACAACATCGCCGTTTAACTGCTTTAATTAAAACTTTAACTTAAATACGACTTTTTTAAAGACCAGTAAAACAAAAACGGTTTATCCAGAAAAAAAAAAAAAACAACAAAAAAAACAAAACAACAACAAACAAACAAAAATAAACCAAGAATTGCCAGATACTTACCGTCCTCAAAGGGAGTTCCTTCGGGCCTGCAAGATAAATATTTTTACATTTTCTTTTCCGTTTCAAATAATTGTTATATTTTCTGGGTAAATACATTTCACACTCTTACCCAAAAATCACTGCATTCCACACCATTATGTTGTTTTCAGATGGGGCCCCACTGACTCCAGCTGGAGGATCTTCTTGAAGCCTTTTTCAACCAAAATAAAGAGGGAAAAGTTGGAAATCAGTTCTTCCATCCAAGAGGGAATTTACTAAAACTATCCCTAAAGAACTTTTACGAGAACTACAAATATTAGGACTTTTTTTTCCCATAACACAACCGGTTTATTCCTTCAGCCATCCATGACCCTTAAAAATCCTGCCCAGCGTTGTGAACGAGATTCCAGCGACCGGAGCAATCGATTTACATTTTATCCCAATGTAGAGGTGCATTCAGAGCACAGCAATGCAACAGGCACACTGACTCTTAACTTGATCTCTTAATCTGAATCTTTCGGTCTTGTGTTGCAACAACCAATCAGGGACTGGATGCGGCTGTGACGCAAGGTAAAGGAGCACAGCTTTTTTTCCTGATCAAAATTGATAGAATTATTTGTAGACATAGGATGAAGTAAGGAATGCTGTTTTTTTTATGGCTTTTTAAAAGCCTGTTTCAATTTTCACCTTGAAAAGGCCCAACCGCCCACCTCATGGACTCTCTGATCTACAAGCATCTCTGGAGGATGTGGTGGACCCAGGGAAGCTGTTCAGCTTTCCATAATGAATAAAGAGCCTTGAATCGCTCAGTAATACCAAGGTCTGCCAGGCTGAGTTGAAACCAACAAGCAGCAGCATCCCCTGTTTGATGAGGGGGTGAAGACAGAAGAGGAGCACATGGTTGGTGACATGTTTGATGCCACCGTGATCCAATTGTTATTCTCTAAAGTTAACGCGAAACTTCTATGTTATTATGCAACTGTGGCTGCTGTTTTCAGACAAACCCCTTGACTGCTATTGCTGTAATAGCTGCTCAATATGATGCTTGATTAGTCCACAAAGCAGATTTCTAGTCCAAAATTGGAAATAGACCTCTGAAAAACAATGTAAACAGCAGGCCCCATTGTTTCAATACATATTACTCTTTAAATGGCAAAATGTCATGCTACTATTTCAGCACTGACCTGTTAAAAATTTTTTTTTTTTAACAATTTTAAATCTTTTGAAATGGCACAGATATTTGTTCAGCGTTTAATGCCAAATATTAAAATTGAGCATTTGTTTTTAATTATAGCTGAAAACCTTTTAAAAGATTGCATTGTAATTTAATCTAAACTTAAATTTAAAAATGAACTTGTTTGCTTTATCTTAATTTTCCAACATTTTTCCATAAAAATGTATAGAAATATTTGGACCGAACCGTGTGAAGAAGAAATAGGAGATGTGTTTCAGGACGCAGTGAAGCTCGCTTTTAACACACAAACAACTCTTTTCGTGAACAAAATGTTCCTGTTAAGTCAGAACAACAGCTCTGTTAAAATTCCCCTAAACAACAAGCAGGAACGCCTGTTCATGACTTCCTCCGCGATTTTAAGTCAATCTTCATGGAATTGCGCTACTTTATTATATTAAACACACCAACTTCAACTAAAAACAATCTAATTGTCCAAAAACTGCCTTATCTAGTTATTATCAAGATAAGGGCTAGTTAAATCAAACTTTACATTTAAAAAATGTCCTTCCATTTACCCTTGTCCGACATTTAAAAGGTAGTTCGTGAAGAGTAAATTCTTACCAGTAAACCAAGTAGGCTAAACTGCTAGCATCTACCATAGTTCGCTTATCCGATATTTCTCGCTCCTCAATATTTAACAGTACCTTTATGTGTTATCCACACTCTCAGATACTTAATGTAAACAAAAAAACATCTACATGGAAAATGTAATTTGCAACGGAACTGAATAATTCCCGTTTTTTGTGAAATATCAAGCTGACGTAAGCTAGGCTAATGTTAGCTTGTTTTGACAAAACGGCTAACCAGGCAGAGTCGGCAGAATTCCATAGCTTGGACTCACCGTTTAAAATCTCTCATAAGTCTTCGTCTGGCCGGGGTGGACATGGCTTGACTTGTGAAACCCTTATTGATAGCACAGCTATATTGAAAGAAAACGTTTTATTGATCGAAATAATTTATTGTACTTAATGGAATTTTGAGTAGAAGGGGTGAAGCCTTCCCACCGCCGCCGACGTTTTACGTCGTTCCTCAGAAGGCTCCGACTCACCGCTAGGCCCAAAGAGATTTAAAGGGCCATACCAACCATCTAGGGGGAATTAAAGCACAATGTCTTATGTTTCTATAGTTTGCAGTCTTTGAAGAAAATAGAACGGTAATTATTTCTTATCACCAGTTTTAATGTGGGTTTTTGATAAAATGCTTAAAGCAAGTGATGTTATCCTAATGGATTTACAACATTACCCCTCCATTTTGGTTGAGGCCACAGTTTCTTTCGAGGGCGTGGTCACCGACACATTACGTCAGTGCAGCCCAGCTAGAATGAAGGTCGTTGCACTGGCAGGTGTGGCGTGTGCTTCCACGTGAATCTATTGATCCTTTGCAGTTTGACGTTGGAATGCAAATTTCAGATAATGAAATACATTCTTTCTTCATCCACAAAAAAGTACATTCTGCCTCAGAAAAAGAAAACAAATTGATCAAAAAAGTAGATAAAATAAAAGTCAAAGGTTAAAGATTTTCTTTATGACCTCAATTTTTCTACAGCAGCAAAAGGAAGACTAGTCATTATTAGCCCTATAGCCCACCCCCCCCCACCCAAAAAATTGTTAGATTTAACAAATAAAGTGCACATCCTCTTCATAAGTGATTTTAATAAGACGCATCTAAATGTATAAAACGTGCATTTTTCCAGCCTTAGTTCCATCATTAATAATTGAGCTTTATATCTCAGAAACAAAGGCCAAGTTTGAAAAAGTATTAAACTAAATAATGCAATAAACACAATTTCATTCTAGGGTTCAAAATGTTTACCATCTCATTGTTTAAATTTTTTTTTTTTGAAACAGTAACTTATTGAGTATGGATATTTAGTTTTAAAACTGATGTTTGGTAGAACTAATTCAGGTCAGCATAGAAACGGCATCTATTTGCAGCAACCATGAGCAGGTATTTCTGTTAAGGACTTGATTCCACATTTCCAGGATTTCCTTTAAGTCCCAGAGATTGTGCTGATCACTCCTTGGCAGTCTTCTTTTTAGATTGGAAGGAAAACATTTACTCATGGGTTTGTTTTCTTTTTGAAACACTCCATATAATGAAGCAGGGCCTTTGTCTTCAAGCTGATCCACATTCTGTGTTATGCAACATACAGGCCCAACAACATAATATGAGAAACACCTCCAGAACATGTTTGAGCCACCGTGCTTTACAGTCAACTGTGGCCCAGAGGCACAAAACAATGTTGCCTTTGTCAGTCCATTACATTGTGTTCTCTATCAATTTTACATTGAACTTTTCTTCTTGCCAGTAGCTTGGCCACAAAAAGGGGTATTGTAATTGTTATGGTATGGATAGGCAAATCATTTTATCATATGAACCAATGGCAATCAATATAATTCCAGTTATTTAAATATTCTAAATGAATACTATTATTATAATACACTGTCAAAGCATAAAAACCAATGGAACATAAAAAAATCAAGTATCAGAGGAAATGTTTTGGTTAATTTAAGATTTTACCATTAGTTTAAATTTTTTATATTAAGTCAGGGTTCACACTACCTTTTCTTTTATATCACATATTTTTAGTATCCAATTGCTCCGAACTAAGGTATTCTACCTTTCCTAAACAAAGACGGGGAAAAAAAAAGGAGTGTACATTTGCAAAACCTTTAATTTTGTTACGATATACAGTGGATGTATTCAAACTGGAAACAAATGTAATGTTGGCAGTGCTTCTTCAGATTCTGTAGTGTTATGAAGAACCTAACGCATCCAAACATGGTTTACAGACACTTGAACATAACAATTACCTTTTACTTACAAAAAACAAAAAATATTAACTCCTCCTCATCCACACTGTCCCTTCTGTTTTTAACCTCCAAAAACCACTTGAAACAAAAATAATATTCCACTCGGTGGTTTTAAGGCGAATAAATGCTTAATTTGGCCTAAATGAAATGAATCTATATCCTTGTTAGCTTAGCATCCGTGGTAAAGAAGCATGGTGCTGTAGAGGGTATGGTCATACAGCTGCTCTGCTTTGACAGACTTCTGGTGCTCCACCTGGCTGCCAACACTGCTACTGATCTCACTGTAGATCTGCCGACCATGGAGCATTCCTGCTGTTGGGATACTCGAGGATAAATCCCCGCAGTGTCTCTCACCTGCCATTGTAAAAAAAAAACAATTGTCAAAAAGCTAATACACATCGACTGAACTTGCTCTCTTTACGGATGAGATGAGCAAAGGAAAGATTTGGGCTGATTTTGTTTTGCACAACTGTTTTAACTCCTTAAAAGCAGCAAGAATAGGCCATTTTGAAGTAAAATGAGGTCGCTATGTGACCCAATTTCAAAAAGCTAGAGGTGGAAAAAAAAAAGCTTTCTGGATTGCACAAGAATCCGATCAATACATTGTGAAATACAGGCAAGATCCTGACGTAACTCAATATTCATTTAAACTGACCAAGATGCTCACAAACGGTCTTAGTTATCCACATGTTCTTAGATATGAAAGCAACATCCACATATTTTATAGAAGGCAAAAATAATGAAATATCTAAAACAAAACAAAGGCCAAAGACCATGTTTATAAAAATCATCCATATTTAATGCTTTCACACAGTCAAGTACAAAGCTAAGCCTGCTCAGTACAAAGAACTGCATTTTTTTTTTTCAAAATACACACTTGCCTTTTTTCATAAAAAGTATGAACAGAAAAAGAACATCGGAATGGAAAACATTCTATTCAAAATAAAAAAAAATCTTTCTGCATCTAGAAAAAACAAACACTTTAAAAAAAAAATCATTTTCAAATATAGCTCAGGTTGTAAGGCTTTTTGAAAACCATGCAATCTTCCTTGAGCGGTTGTAATACAACAGTGAAACACAGATTAATACATCTGATTATTACATATGAGATTATGCTATAAAATGACAAACACACACAAGGCCCGCTGACTGCATAAAAACACCTAACATTTACACAGTTACTAGTTTTTAAACCAGATTAAAACCAAATGGAGGGACGGTCATATGTTCAAGCCCCAGAAGCTTTTTAACAGCTAGCAACTACAGAAAGGCAGAGGGATTTTTTATTTCTTAAGAGCTACATTCATGTTGGAATATGCTTTGGCTGATAATACAAAATGCTTGAGGTTCATGTATAACATTGTGAGGGATTGTGTTACCATTAATGTATTTATCTGGCAGTCCTCAGGGAATATAGTATATATATAAAAAAAAAAAAAAAACGAGAGCACTTAACCATTTCCCAAATAGATACTGTAAGTGGAAAACAGATTAAATATGTACTATTTTTTTTTAAATAATCTGACAGGTAAACAAAATGTATCTTTTAAAAGAAAAATATCTAAAAACAAAACAATCTAAAACCAGAAACTAATACAGAAGTTCCTTGAGAAAGATAAAAATCACAAACTACTTTGTATTTTAAAGAAGTACTTACTTGGTTGACTCAAACTTCGCGTCTAATGGGGATACAAACTTCCATAAAATTGTGCAAAACAAAATCAGACTTTAAATCCAAACCTAGGGGATAACATGTGGGTAAACTTGAAGCAGAAATGATTAGTTTATAAGATATATAACAACTAGAAAAAGTCCTTTATCCATCCAAATGCTAATTACACAGATAAGTATGAAACATACCACTCATACACGTCTACACATCGTTTCATTTTAACTCATCACCAAGTCATAAGAAATGCATCCTCTTGTGTGCACACCATATAACAGGAAAATCTGACATTACAAACAATTTGTATTAGTGTGCCATTTTACACACAGCTCCCTCTACAGGTAGGCATAGGAGTTAGTGCAGCGACAGGGTGTCTGCATTGACGCCACAGTGATGACCTCCAGCTCTTTAGCAGCAGGGCTCAATTTGTTCTGTGGCCCCTGATCCTCACAATGATCCACAGGCCCCAACCCCTGAGGGGGTCCAAACCCATTCATCCCAAATGTAAAGCTCCCCGGCCCACCTGAGGTTACAGCTGCTGCTGTCTCCATATTCATGCTCTCCATGTGGGCCTCTCTGGGGCCATCTAGTGGCCCGTTCCCATTCAGCTGTTCAGGTTGCATGGACAGTCCTAGGAACAGAGAGAAGCATTAAACATTTGCAAATTAAGACTCAATAACTCACATTTTATAACCATCAGTTTTAATTGATGTCCTTTATAGAAAAATAAAACAGACTGATTACATTTTCTCCATTATAAAACAATAACATATTCAGAACATTGATCTGCACTTTTTATGAAGTAAAACTAAATATTTTTTTTAGTTAACATCAAACATATCTATTGGCTCTAAAAAATAAAAAAATTTATTTATTAGAGGATGGTGGAAAAATATCTCACATTATTTTACCAAAACACATCAAAGTGATCTGCCTAATCTCTGACACTATGCTTTTGTTATCGTATTTCAATTTATTTATAGCCTGTGGCATCAACATGTTTAATCAAAAACATTAACATAAAGCTTACAAATTGATTTTCGCTATATTTATCATAATGGAAAACCTGTGAAACATTACAAAGTCATCCCTTTATAGACACTCTTAAAGTCAGAGGTGCAGAAGGTGAAGTTGAAAAATATTATCTATGGCTGAAAACTAAATCTTCAGATGGATTTATCGTCCGCCATCAAAAAACAGCCTCTCAGTTGGAGAAACTAGAAGATTGTCTAAAAAGTAAGGCGTGATGAACTCTAAAATAAAACAGCTGTTGCCATGGCGCAGCCCAGGGCAGGTTTTCTGTTCATTGGGTCTCTAAGCTGTTGCTTAAACATTATTGCATAGATATTTACAATGTGAAGTCAATTGGAGTTGATTTTCCTGATACAAAAAATGCTTTTTTTCTCAAATGTTTAGAAAAACTGCATAGGGGTCGTGGTAGTAGCACACATTCTTATATAAAATACCTTTATATAAAGGGGAACCCAGAACATAAATGAAACGGATCCAGTGACCTACCATTAGGTCTGGCCTTTTTGAATGGGTTTGCCTCATCGCCTTCGAAGGACCTCTTTCTGTTG